TATTCTGTCCATCTCTGTGCATACCCATGGGCCTCATTCGATAACGATCATCACCACCCTGACGCTGCCTTGGGACTCCGGCCACGTATACTTCATCGTCACTCCAGCATTGGCCCTCCTCGTCTGACCGCTTCCCCCCGGCTCCACGTCCCGGACAACCGCAATGGCCTCTCTGATCCCCATCGATATGGAACCCCCACCTCCCGACTCGGACCCATCCCGCTGTCGCCTACTGGGACCGACAGCGTTGGTGGTGCAGGGATTGAGTGAGTGATTCATCTTCAACACCGCTGACCCCGTCCAGTGGGCGTCTTTGTCATCGCGTCGCTGGTGGCGAAGCGACAGCTGGAGAAGAGGAAAAGAAAATGGAAGATCTGGCTCTGGGACGTCGGCAAGCAGCTCGTCGGTCAGGCCGTCGTCCACGGCCTCAACCTCTTGGTGAGTAACACCGTCTCGAAGTCGAAACACGCAAAACTCGCTGACAGCTTTGCAGATATCAGACCTCGTCGCACACGCCGCGGACAACAATCCCTGCTCGCTCTACTTTCTCAACGTCCTCATCGACACGACCATCGGTGTAGCAATATTCTACTTTGCTCTCAAAGCGTTCACATGGTTTTTTACACAGCGTCTGGCCCTGGAAGGGTACAAGAGTGGGCAATATGGCAACCCGCCGAACCCCACGTAGTGAGTCCGCGACGTCCGGACCTCCGTCGTTCCCTCGTTGCCTCGTCGCCTCTTCGTTGTCGCTGACGCCCCGTCCCAGCTGGTGGCGCCAAATCATCCCTTACCTCCTCTCCATCATCACCATGAAGCTCCTAGTCCTTCTCCCGCTCACGCTCCCGGGCATATCGGAGCTCCTCCTTCGCTTCGGGCACGCCTTGCTGCAGTACCTCTCCCCCAGCGTCCAGGTCGTCTTCGTCATGGCCTTGTTCCCGCTCGTCATGAACGTCATCCAGTTCTGTCTGGTCGATCAGGTCATCAAGGGTGGCAAGGGCGACGAAGCCAAGGACGAGGAGGAGGAGGAAGACGGGGGTTACGAGAGGGTGCCCACTCGCGAGGCCGACGTCGAGGCTGGGCCCGCACCCAGACGCCGAAGCTCCACCAAAGACGGGCTGGTGCGAAGAGCATCCAGCTCACAGCCGGGCTCCGTGTTGACCTCCCCGTACCTCGCCCCCGTTGACTCTGCCAAGCGCTACGGTAGCATCAGTCCGTCACCCAGCCCCCGCACCAGTCCGCGTCCCAGTGCCGAGGGCAGCCGTTCAGCGACGTGGTCGGGCGTGCTGCGGGAAACCGGAGACACGCTCGATACGAGGGACAGGCGGTCGATGGCTCCCTCGCCAGAGTCGACCGAACCCGTCTCTCCGGCGTCAGCCATGTTTGCATCCGTGTCGAGGCTGACTGAGGATGCTGGACGCGAGGCCAGGCGCAGCCTCAGTCCTACGACACGGGCTGGGCATGACAGAGCGGTGCGCGAGTCTCTGGGCATGGAGAGGATGGAGCATGAGTAGGAGAGCGGTGTTTTGTACAAACCTTTGCTCGTCGCCAATGCATGCAGAGCGGTTGTAACGGCAGTGAAATGGCGACCCACCCATCGGGCAAATCGCCGTGGCCGAATCGAGGAATCCTCCGCCTCCTCCTCCTCCTCCTACTCGTATTATTATTGACGTCTGCCCCCCGTCTCAACCTCTAACCCTTCTTCCCCTTTGTCTCCTTGCTCTTCCTCTGTCTCTCCCACTTCCCGCTCCCCTCCTTCCATATCCTTACATCCTTATAATCATGCGATAGCCACCCCGGTCCACCGCCCCCCCTTCCTCCCTCCCTTCGCGGGATGACCGCCGCCTCCAGCACGAGCTTGGGAGCCATGGCGCGGATATCGTCCACGTCGTCTCGCAACGACCTCTTCACCACGTCTTGGGCTCCCGACGTGACCCCGCCGAAGCCTCTAGACGATCGTCCCGCTCTCGCGACGATGACCTCCGACATCACCAACGACTCGCCAAAGACCTCGTCGTTCTTCGACCTGTCAACATCCATCGCGACGCCCCCTCCCCCGCCCAACCTCGCGTCCGCGCCGGCTCTCGCGACGTTCGCCTCGTCATCCATCTCTCCTTCACCATTGTCTCTTTCCCGCGCTCCCAGCCTCAGAACCAAGATCCCTCCATCGCTACCGCTACCGCTACACCTGCCCGAACCGTCCACTCCCACGGGCGAAAACGACCCCTTGTCCCCACTGCATCAGTCCCCCTCGCTCACTGCGAGCACCGCCGCGCTGTCGTCTTGGCAGCCCCCACGGCCTCCATCATCCGACGACGTCGAGCTCCGGCTTATCCCAGAGCACACCTATCTGCTCGGCGAGGGTCGCTATGCCCAGGTTTTCCTCGCCGCGTGCAGAGGGGATCGTCGGGGGAAACATTCACCTTCATCTGCCCCTGGCGAGATCAATGCCGCGGGTGACGGATATGCTAGGGGTAGCTGGCACTTGTGCGCAGCCAAGCGCATGGCCGCAGACCGAGAGTCGCAGACCATGGGACTCCGCGAGGCATTCTTTCTCGGTCGACTGACCAATTCGGCTCCCCGACGCCGGGCCATCTCCCCGCTCCGATCGTCGTCGTCCGCCCCCCACGCCAGCGTATACGTGGTCAAACTGATCGCCGTAAAGGAGGTCACGGAGCGACGTGCATCTACTCACGGACGATCCGCTTCGGATGTGGCAGCCACGCCGAAGACCCTAACGCGTCAAAGGAGCTCCACGTTCAATGCTCTCGACGACGACCACGGCCTGTCCTCCTTCCCGTCGCTCCCGTCGCTCGCAGATGCCGCAAGGGACCCACCACCGCAATCGCTCTCGCGCCTCGTCCTGCTGCTCGAGCACGCCCCGCTCGGTACGCTCGATCGCGCTCTGCGGACCAGCCCCGATCTCGTCGGGCGTCAGCTGTGGGAGCGTTGGGCCAGACAAGGTGCCGAAGCGCTGGACTGGGTGCATAGCAAGGGCGTGGTCCACTGCGACGTGAAGCCGGGCAACCTCCTGGTGAGTGCAAAGAACGCGACAGCGGCTGACTCTAGCTCACACAAAACCTCGATCTCCGTCTCTCCGACTTTGGCTCGTCGCTGTTGATCCACCCAAACCACCCTCCCACCGACGGCGTGGGTCTCGGCACTCTCCCGTTCTCTCCACCGGAACTGGTCGACCCGAGCCAGTCCTTCTCCTTTCCCGTCGACATCTTCGCTTTCGGCGCGACGTTGTACCAGTGCATCACCGGTCGCGAACCGTACCGGGGCACCCGCGCCATCGAGATGATGCACCATGTCCGCAAAGGTCGACTGTGGGTGTGCGAGGAGACGGAACGCCTCGCCAGGATCGGCTCGACGAGCGAGAGCGCCGCGGCGAGTCCTTACCCTTCCGCGTGGAGAGACAGGGAGGAAAGCGGACTGAGGCGCGCCGGGTCGCTTCGAGTCCCGACGTCAGGTCATCGCCCACGCCTCGGCCGCGTGTCTTCTGCAGAGTCGCTCAGGGCCTCCGAAGACGTCGTCGTGTCGCAAAGCCGCAACGCGCCGGCCGGGGTCAAGTTATGGGCCAACTGGCTGAACACCGACGGTCAGGCTCAAGACCCGGTGACTCGGCTTCTCGCCGAAATTGACGACGACACGCCACGAGCCGCCGCCGTGTCACGACAGGCTTCCCTACGGTCAGTTCATTCGCCTCAGTCCTCCTCCTCGATCTCCCCTAGCTCGCCGCACACTCGCGACCGTGCCGTGGAGCTGCACCTCGCCGAGCTCGGAGTGCCATACGGAGACGGTAGTCCAGCGATGATGTTCCTCGACGGAAAGGAGAGGGTGCCCGAAGAGATACGCGAGGTGATAAGAGCGATGGTGTCCCCCGCACCGGAGAAACGACCCACGGCGAGCGAGCTGAAGCGGTTATGGGAAAACTTGGGTGTCTTGAAGCGCGACGAGGCAGATTAAATGTTGTATGATGCAGTGACTTGTTGTACTCTATGCAGTGATTAGGATATTGTGGTTTGCAAGGACAGAGAGTGGCCGCAAGCGTTCTGAACGAGTTCGCGAGTTGAAAGGGTTCTGATCGAATTGCTCGAGCGAAACAAGGAGAAGCAGCTCGTCGGATACGTTCTATAAGTGGGTGCTTTGCGTATGTGACTGGTGCTCCACTTGATTGTGGGTCTTGCGCTAGTTCATACATTCAGTGGCACAAAGGATAGGGAATACAGGGCAAGACACACGGAGTTGAAGGAGCCATGGGGGGGGGGGGGGAGGAGAAGAGAAGAATAGCCAATGCCGAGAAGAATTGAGAAAAAATCGACGAGTTTACCACGGAAGAGGAGCGGCAGTCATCTGTCCGTCATGCCCTCCGTTCGAAGTCCGGTTCTGCCGGCTCGACACATGTAGGCATGTAGTTCCAAATGCTGGAAGCGAAGACGTAAGGGAAAGGTTGGTTCGAGACTTTTGTGGGAGTCTGCTACGTATGAGAGTAAACTCAAGCGACGAGAATCCGTGTGCTCTTGCTGCCACGACCCACTGTCACCGGCGGCCGGGGTCCACGATTGTTATGTAGCTTCTCTGGTGGGCGGATCATTGGTTTCTGATCAAAACATTGGCAGCTAGCCACTGAGGTGTCTAGGCTCCGGTAACACATACGGTATCTTTATCTCTGTACAGGACCAATCTCCAGCGATCGCAATCTTCAAAATCCAAGTCCTAAAACGCCGGTTTGGATGTCATCGAGATCGCTTGACTCGAACACTGCGCCGATCCACTTGCCGACAACAATCCGCCAGCCAGGTGATGAGACCATACCTATGTCGAAGACAAGATAGGACGCGACGCTCAACTAGTTCACAATGAAAGAAGACACGACATGTGGCAGAGCAACGCCGTGGCGGTTGCCATCTCCGTCGACCCCTCCGCCCGGCCGGCCTTCTGGGCGGCCTGGGTGATTCTCATTGCCATCAGAACGTTCCAGAGCAGCCCAAATGGCAGCGACGATGATGGTGTAGGGGTTAGCATTACTCCCTTCCACCCTTCTAAGTGAAAGAAGGAGTAGACCCGTGTTCGAATCACGGTCATCGTATACTAATTTTTCCGCATCGGCGGTCTTTTTTGGGTGGATGTTCCCTTGTTTGTCGTTATGTTTGAGGGCAGCGCGTCCTCGACAGAACAACAAGTCGGCACAAAGTTGTTCCATAAGTGCTTGGGTAGTATCTTGGTCAAGTGATATGATGAAGAAGAAGGGAAGGCAGGCGAGGTGAGGAGACGACAATGGCAAAGGGTCGGAATTGCGGGCATTGTCAGCCTGCTATCGTTTCATATCACCGCACTCCGAACTAGTAGTTGGAGGTCTCGAAGTGCAGCAGCTAGACATGTCAATACTTCCCCTGTAGATTCTCAGAGAAGCATTGCACAACGCAGCCCAAATTGGATGGGAGTCAGGAGGCTATGAATTGACGAAGTGCCACGGAGCCACCGCCACCGCCACCGCCCCCGCCAACCACGTGACCTGGGCGCGTCCTTACCGACGGCAGGATGAAGTGAAAGATGCGATTCCTCCTGTCGCTCTTTGTATCTCTTCTCAGCGCAGTATCGTCGTCATGATCAGCCGGGTCCCACCGACACTTCGCCGTGAAGACGTCGCTGAAAGCATCACGCAGGGCAAGTACCTCTTCATACACCGATCACGTGTGATCAACGCGACGGCATGGGCACCTTACCATCCTGGCGGTGCCCTTGCTATCCTCCACTTTGTCGGTCGCGATGCGACCGACGAGGTCGAGGCGTATCACTCGGTCGAGGCGTTGCAGCGGATGGAGAAGTATGTGGTGGGAATGGTGGATATAGATGAGGAGGAGGGATGGAAGCCGTTGACTCCACCGATCGCGCTGGGTCTGGTGCGGCACCCCGATGGGGTCAAGGGCCATTGGGCCCGGGAGGGATCGGTCAGGCTTGCAGAGGGCAAAAGAGACCCGTTCGCATGTTCCAACACCGACTCGCGTCCCGGTCCAGAAATCATCACTTTGTCTCCTGGCGATCTCGAACCGCCGTCCTCCGACCTCGACCTGCGGAAAGAACGAGCCCGATCAAAGGCGTATCACGAGCTCAAGACGCGTATCACTGAGGCCGGCCTCTTCAACCGGCCGGGACCGCTCTCAGGCTACGGCAGCGACATCCTCCGCTACGCTTTGTTGGGGAGCGCTGCGTTCGCCTTGTATTTTCTGTGCGTGCACGATCCACAACCCCCGGGTACAGCTGATTCCGCAGCACCACGAGCTGGCTTGGGCAGATGGCTTCCGCCACATGTCTCGGCCTATTCTTCCACCAGCTCACATGTGAGAAAGTGTAGTTGAAAGAGTATTCCTATCGCTGACATCGCAGTCTTCGCTCACGATGCTGGACATACCGGCGTGACGGGCAATTGGTGGTGGGACAGGGTGCTTGGCATGCTCGTCGCCGACTGGATCGGGGGATTGAGCCTGGGTTGGTGGTGCGACGTGAGTGACTATCTTCGCTGGTGCTTCAATGCTGACGTTCCAGAATCACAACATCCATCATCGTGCGTCTCCTATCACCGAGCTTGGCTAACCGCAGTCGTTACGAATCATCCCGAACACGACCCAGACATTCAACACATTCCCTTCTTTGCCATCTCCAAGGACTTTTTCGGCAGTCTCTGGTCCACGTATTATAAGCGAGTCATGGCGTTCGATGGCTTCTCCAAACGCATGGTAGCACTGCAGTAAGCACCCATGAGTCAACAACGCTCACACTCAGGCATAAGCTGTACTACGTCGTCCTCTCCCTGGCTCGCTTCAACCTGTATGCCAATTCGTACGCGTACTTGCTCGGACCCAAGCCCAGGCACGACGCCTTCTGGCGTTTTGAGCTTGCTGGGGTCGCTTTCTACTGGTTTTACTTCGGGGCGATGCTCCGCGGTCTCCCCAGCTGGAAGTTGCGCATCGCGTACCTGTTGATTAGCCACATCGTCAGCAGTCCTGTCCACGTGCAGGTGAGTCTATACTAGACAGTCGAGACTCACGCCAGATCGTGCTGTCACACTTCGCCTGCTCCACCGAGGACCTCGGACCGACCGAGTCGTTCCCATCGAGGCAGCTGCGGACGACAATGGACGTCGTTTGTTCCCCGGATGTCGAATTCATCCACGGCGGCCTGCATCTACAGGTGACTCACCACTTGTTCCCCCGCCTGCCCCGACACAACCTTCGCAAAGCGAGCCTGCTGGTCAAGGACTACTGCAAGGAGCACGACATTGTGTATAGGGAGCATGGGTTTGTGGAGGGGTGAGTGAGGCGCACTGGGCTGGACTGACGATCAGCAACCAGCACGTTCTTGCCGTACTAGCCGACGTCGCAAATCAGATCCAGTTCATCAAAACAGTCGCCGACGCTGAAATAGATGAGAAGATCAAGTAGAGTGGAGCATGACTCTCACAGTGTACATAGAATGCCATGCATCTCGCGCCTCTGTAGAACCGCCAGTACCCGCAAACCAAACTTGGACGTGCACGTGACCCCGCTGCCGCCGCCTCCGCCACACTGGGGCCGTTCCTGAAGTAGTCACTCCACCTCGTTCACCCCCGTCTCCACGTCCACATCGAATCCATCTTGTCTTGTCATCTGCAACTATCCCTTGCCCCTCGACATGTCTTTCTTCAAGAGGAACGATCCAAGCGCACCTGCGGCACGTCGTGCGGCTCAGGGCGCTCCCGCCGGCTCGCCTTACGAACGCCTGCCCCCCGACAATTCGTCCTACACCTCCCAGCCCCCTCAATCCCATCCCGGGTTACCCCCCCGGAGACCCCCTCCGCCTCAGCAACCCGATTTTTCCGCACCAGCAGCATACTCGTCTCCCCCGAGGCAGCAAGCTCAACCGCAGTACGGTGGCTATGACCCGAATCAAGGGGGTGGAGATTATCGCGAGAAGGCAGAGTATCGACCCGCTCGCGTTGCAACTCCCCAGAGGGGATACCCGGGAAGCGGGGCGCAAGGTGTCTCCACGGGCTCTGGGCGAGGCGTGTGAGTATGATCGCTTTGCGTTTGGATGTAACTGATAGAACAGGTTCAACATCGCCCCGTGCCCCTCTGACCCGCTGGCGCTGACCAACCGCCTCGTCGTCAGCGGTGGCGACTTTCCCCCCGAGGTGGAGTTTGTCATCATTCGTAACCGTTTCATTCTGTCTATTATGTGAGCCCTCTCATACTCTCAACGCATAGCCTGCTGACCGGTGTCTCAGTCGCGACCCGACTGGTACCTTGCCCCCCAAGCACCTCGGACCGTCCAAGATCATTCGACAATGGATTGGTCTGTCTGCGGTGGGAGAGACGGTGGAGTGTGAGCCATATGCTCCGGGGAACGGAGAATGGGCAAGCAGTGTGGAGCTGGAGGTGGGTCTGACTAGTCAAACGTCCCGCTAACGTAGCAGGTCAGCTTCCGGTTGAAGCGCAAGGAGACTTCCGACCTGTTTGATTGTGAAGACATGGCCGCCGCGTTCATCGCTGTGAGTCGATCGTAAGCCTTGCGAGCGCGGCTGATTTTTCAGGCTTTCCCGTCCCTCCCGGTCACCCCACTTCAACCTCTTGTCTTCGACTATCGCGGACATGAGCTCAAGGCGACCGTTCGAACCGTTTCCACCCTGGACGGGGCTGAGGGGCAGACTGGTGTCATCATGGAGGGCACCGAGGTACTCTGGGTCAAGGACCCCACCAGCGGCATGAAGCTCAAAAACACGTCGAAGAAGTGAGTAGAATAACAACGGACTCCGGAGCATTGACGGTACAGCCGTCCGACGAACGCCATCCTCGCGCCGAACTTCAAGTTTGAAGACATGGGCATCGGTGGTCTTGACACCGAATTCGCTGCCATCTTCCGTCGAGCCTTCGCCAGTCGTATCTTCCCACCAGGACTGGTGGACAAGCTAGGCATCCAGCACGTCAAGGGTAAGCCCGGATGGCTAGTTGACGCTGATACCAGGTATCCTGCTCTTCGGTCCTCCCGGTACCGGAAAGACGCTTATGGCGCGACAAATTGGCAAAATGCTCAACGCTCGCGAGCCAAAGATCGTCAATGGTCCCGAGATCCTCAACAAGTTTGTCGGTCAGAGTGAGGAGAACATCCGGAAACTGTTTGCGGACGCGGAAAAGGAGGTGGGTCACGAGCATTGGCGGTCGCTCACATTCAGCAAAAGGAGAAGGGTGACGAGAGCGGCTTGCACATCATCATTTTCGACGAGTTGGATGCCATCTGCAAGCAAAGAGGCTCTACAAACAACGGTACCGGCGTGGGAGACTCGGTCGTCAATCAACTTTTGTCCAAGGTGAGCTCGCCGTGTTAGCCGTCCGCTGACGTCAGATGGATGGTGTCGACCAACTCAACAACGTGCTCATCATCGGCATGACCAATCGCTTGGATATGATCGACGAGGCACTCCTACGACCTGGCCGTCTTGAAGTACACGTCGAGATCTCCTTGCCCGACGAGGCTGGACGATTTCAGATCCTCAACATCCACACCTCCAAAATGCGAAACAACGGCGTCATGGCGGATGACGTTGACCTGGCTGAGCTCGCTGCCCTCACCAAGAACTTTTCCGGTGCCGAGATTGGCGGTTTGGTCAAGAGCGCTACGAGTTTCGCCTTCAATCGCCATGTCAAGGTCGGTAGCGTTGCTGCGTTTGAAGATGTCGAGAACATCAAGATTGGTCGGGCGGACTTCATGCACGCTCTCGACGAGGTTCAGGCGGCATTCGGCGTCTCCGAGGAAGAACTGCAGCAGGTGGTGCAGAACGGCATCATCCACTACTCTCAGAGGATCAATGTACGTCCTGGTTCCCTTGTCCTCCGCCCCAACTCCCCGTCGTCTTATCTATCCTTTTCCCAATCCCGTTGCCAAGCCTGCTGACCTTGCTAGGATATTCTCAAAGATGGTAGCCTCCTCGTCGAGCAAGTTCGCAATTCAGCTCGAACTCCACTTGTCTCCGCGTTGATCCATGGTGAGTGCACCATCATCGGTTGTGCTGATCAGCAGGCCCCTCCGGAAGCGGCAAGACTGCGCTTGCGGCGA